GACACCATCGACTACAGATTGCCATCACATATTAAACCCCTTTTGTACGAAATCAACTTGATACCTAACTTAGATAGCTTTACATTTGACGGCACCGCAAAAATTAATGCTGAGGTAGTACAAGCAACTAACAATATTACGCTACACGTGGGAAACATCCAAATCATATCAGAGTCTGTTACAATATTCGGGGCAAATCTTGAGTTTTTGAGTTCGTATGACAAAATTACTGAAAAGTACACTATTACTCTTCCCAAAACTGTCGAGAAGGGTAGGAAACTTATAATTAGCTTTACGTACAATGGAACTTTATCCGACAACATGATCGGATTTTATAGGAGTTCTTATCTCGACGAAAACAAACAGATTAAGTAAGTGATACTACCTTTCGTGATAATAAAACAAATAAGAATACTTTATAAATATTATCATCTTCAGTAGTAATAAAAGAAATTTTATTATCACCTTTCGTGATAATAAAAGAGATAAGAAAAACACTTTATAAATATTATCATCTTCAGTATTTAAATATCACAAATTTTTAATATGAAATTCTGCTTAAAATCAGACGGCTAGCTGCGACACAATTTCAAACGACACACGCGAGACATGCCTTTCCATGCTTCGATGAGCCAAGTTTTAAGGCACAATTTATAATCCATATAGCAAGAGACGACAATACTAAGACGCTCAGTAATATGCCATTAAAAGAATCTATAAGACTGTAAGTGTCAAAAAAACGTGTAATTATCGATATTGTCTTTGCCAAATAAACTTTTTTGCTTTAATGTTTTTATGAAAATATTTATATTTGCTTTTAAGAAAACCGGGAGCCAAGATATGGGATGTATATGAGCAAAGCATTCCAATGTCTACCTACTTAGTGGCCTTTGTGATTTCGGATTTCGATTTTCTACCTAAAACTTCTTCTTTTCTACCTACAAGAGAAATCGCATTTAAAGTATGGTCCACACCATCCACCATTGACCAGGCCACTTACGCTTTGGATGTCGGTCGTGCAGCTCTCGAGCTGCTTGAGAACAAGTTCGGTCAAACTTACGCACTTTCTAAAATGGACATGGTAGCCATACCTGACTTCGCAGCCGGTGCCATGGAAAATTGGGGATTGGTGACATATCGCGAAAGTCGAATGCTGTAC